CCACTACCACCCTAATTTAGGTAACCACAGTATTTTCTACGTATTATTCACAATTATTAAATATTCTCCATTTGTCTTTACACCCCTACAATTTAGTTTCTATATAGCTAAGCCAGAGATTCTTTTAAAATTTTAAGTCAGATAATGTTCTCTGCTCAAAATCTTCCAATGGCAATTCATCACATGTATAATGCTCCTCTCTCCAACTACCTACATGAGAATCTATTAATTTCTCCTAATTTACAGTCACACTGACCTCACACCCATGAATGCTCCTACTTTTTTCCTGCTATTTCTGCTGGTATGGCTCTTCCTTAAGAGGCCCTCAATGTTGAAATTGGGTGCTTGTTCAAATGTCACCTTCTTAGTAAGGACTTCCCTTACCACCTATTTAAAATTACAACCTCCATCTTCCACCCTCACTAATCCTCTTCCCAATCTTTATTTTTCTCCACAACATTTACCACCAATCTCACTTGTCTACCTAGCAGAAGCAGAGGCAAATCTTCTTGAGAGAAATGTACTTCAATTCTGGCCTTCAGAGAATTTCCACACATACTTTTCCAAGAAAAATAAGTAATTCAAAGTAACAAAACAACCAAGTTTATAAGGAAAAATGGTCTATGACAAAGAACCAACAGAATTGTCGGAGAAAGTTCTGAAAATACTTTAGATAAGCTGAAGAGATAATTTATTAAACTAAAATGTGAATAAGAAGAAATTATCCAGAACACTGCACAAAGTGGTAGAAAATAAGACAATAAATAACATGGAGGATTAAATGAAGTACTAGCAAATATTTAATTTGGGCTCTAAGAGGAAAAATGAGACAGTGGGCAGTATGTGAAGGAATTATGACTGACCATTTCCCAGAATTGTGGACAGACGCCAATCTTCTGATCTAAGAAGCCCAATAAATTCTAGATAATTTAAAGGTAAGAAATTCACAACCAGACATTTCATGGTGAAACTGCAGAACATCAAACCAGAGAAAATTTTAAAAGAAAAAAGAAAGCCTTTAAGAAAGTATTGTTATTTCTCAGCAGTATTAATGGAAGCAGACAGCAGAATGGCATGTTAATGTCCTGGGAATTTTATCCCCACAGAAAGTATCTTTCAAGATGGAGGACAAAGGGCTGCAGTTGTAGTTCAATGGTATAGCACCTGCCTAGCATGTGGTGAGACACTGGGTTTGGTTCTCAGCACTGCATATAAATAAATAAAATAAAGGTTCAACAACTAATAAAAATATATATATATAAAAGATTGAGGACAAAAATGAAGACATTTTCAGAGAAGTAAACATGAGAGATTCACTGAAAGACTTTTCAAAGACAGAAGMAAAAGTATCCCGGAGAGAAAGATACAAGAAGAGCAAAGACAGTGAAGGCCCAAATGAACACTGCATCCTAAAACAACAGCAAAATTGTATAATCAGAAAAAAACAGAATTAAAACATATGATGTGCCAGGTGTGGTGGTGCATGCCTGTAATCCTAGCAACTGGGCAAGTTGAGATAGGAGAATTGTGTGTGTCATATCACCCTCAGAAATTTAGCAAGGCCCCAAGCAAGTAAGTAAGGCCATGTCTCAGAACAAAAAATTTTAGTTTGGGGATATAGCAATACATACCAGTTTAGAAGATTGTCGCTATGGATTGGATATGCTTTAGTATGTCTCCAAGGTTTCATGTCCTGAAATTTAATCCCCATTGTGAGATATTAAGAGAGTGAAACTTAATATATGGTATTTAAAGGTGGGGCCTCTGAGAGGTGATTAGGATTAGATAAGGTCAAAAGGGTGAAGTCCCCATGATTGAATTCTGGTGGCTTTATAAAATGAGGGAGAGAAATCAGAGGAATTAGAAATACATGTGTGCTCCCTGACTCTTGCCATGTGACAGCCTGCAGCATCTTCACTATCTGCCATCACTAGATATGGTCTCTGGACCTTAGACCTTTAGAACCCTGTGAGCCAAAATAAAGGTCTGTTTTTGTTTTTGTTATTAAAACTTAGTCTGTGGAATRTGTTATTAAGCAACATAAAACAGACTAAAATAGGTATAATAAAGTTAGAGTGTGTTCTAAGGTCTTTGTAGAAGAATTAACTTCTAGACTCAAGAAAAATAACTGCATGTCTTTATTTTTAGGTTAACAATTAAAGGAATGGAAGAAAACTGTAAACTTCCAAATTATTCAAAGGATAAAGAATGGTTAAGATATTAAAAACAATCAATCCAGAAAGCAGATACTCCTTTCCCTCAAAGGAGAAAAAGAACAGAAATATAGATAGTACAAAATGAAATGGTAGATTTAAACTCTTATGTGAAATAAATCATAGTAAATGTAAATGAACCGAAGTCTCCATTTGAAAATGACAAAGTCTGCTAGGCTGAATTAAAAATAATCCAATTAAATGCTATTATAAGAAATGTCTGAAACAAAGAGCCAATGTAAAAAGATGGCAAATGACCTACTATGTAAATACATCCAGGGGAAAACTGAAGTAGCCATATTAATAGCAAACAAAATAGACTTAGGCAAGAGATATATTAAAGAGGCCTAAATAAGTGAGAAGATATAGCAAGTTCATGCACCAGAAGACTTAATTTGCCAAGGATCAACGAAGTATATTTATCTAACACACATAAATAGTAACTGCAAGTCAACAGGAAAGTGGCAAGAGACTTGAATAGCCATATCATAAAAACAGGAAATCTAAATGGTCAATAAATATATASAACTTTTTAATCAAGGAATTACAAATAAAAGTACTATTTCTAAATTGTCAAAAAGTTAAAATTCTGATAATTTTACACTTGTATATGTTGGCAAGGCTATAGATCAATGGGCACTCTCATAGCAGAAATGTAAATTGGTTCAATTACTTCTTTTCTTTCTGTTTTTTTTAGATGAAGTCTCACTATTTTGACTGGTCTTGAATTCCTGGGTGCAAGCAGTTCTCCTGCCTCAGCCTCGTGAATAGCCTCCTGGGCAGCCACTGTGCCCAGCTTGAAAAGACAAATATTCTTTGAGTTAGAACTTTCATTCCTGCTAGAGATTTGCACATGTATACCAGGAGAGAAACAGAAGAGTGCTTATGGCACCATTGTTTGCAACAGTCCCATGTTGAAAATAACCCATTAGGAGCAAATAAACTAGAGTATAACCACACAATGGAATTCTAGATAGTAATGAACAGGAGAAAAACCCATGTAACTTACATCGATGACTCTAGTCAGCATAATGTTGAACAGAAAAAAGCAAAAACAATATTCGTTAGGAAGAAATACATAATGGTAAAACACTGAAGAAGAATAAAGATAATTATCTCAAAAATCAAGACAGTTGTTTCCTTTGGATAGGTGTAAAGCTCTGATTAGGAAGGGGCATGAGAGGAAAAGAGATAAGGTCTACAACGTGCAATGTTTTATTTCTAGCCAGATGGTGGCTACTTGAGTTTTAAATATTTAAAATATTAAACATACATTTTATATACTTTTCTGTATGCATGATTTATCTAATAAGAAAAAAACTGAGAAGGAATAAGATAGTGCATCTCATTTATCTTTCTAACTATGGTTTTGGTTTTGTGCACAAGTTCCCTTAAACGACTAACGTAATTTGGCACATTCTCTTTTTGGAAAGGCAGAATTATTTAGGAGGAAAAGCACTAAATAAGGGCTCACAGGACAGAAGCTTTCTTAATTAAATGCTTAATTAAGTTCTCTTAAGAAGCACTCTTAAGCATATTAAGTCTCTCTGTACCCTAATTGCCTATCTATTAAAAGCAAATACTAACAATTGCCCCTATCTCTTGGGATATATGTGACTATTAAATCATAATATAAAGTGAAACATGTTTAGAAAATAGCAAGCATACAAACAGAAAAACGGCAGTTTGCTTTCCATTATCTGAAATTCAAAGATTTTTGTTACACTGGATCTCAGATGATGACAAGAGATAAAAATTAAACCCATGAAAATAAAGACCAAATTCTAATAATTTCACTTTGAATAGCTTTAGTTAGAAAACAGTATATCAGGGCTGGGGATGTGGCTCAAGTGGTAGTGCACTTGCCTGGCATGCGTGCGGCCTGGGTTCGATCCTCTGCACCACATACAAACAAAAATGTTGTGTCCACCAAGAACCAAAAATAAATATTAAAAAAATTCTCTCTCTCTCTCTCTCTCTCTCTTTAAAAAAAAAAAAAATCCCTGTCTCTAAATAAAATATTAAAAAAAAAGAAAACAGTATATCAGTTATCAGTAATGAGTAAACAAATTTTCTATTTTAAAAAATAAATACAGAATATTAAATTTAAACTAAGAAATGGTTTAAAAGATGTCACCTCAACAGCTTAGAGGGAGATCTGCTTGTGTTTACTAAAGAAAACTCAAGAACATCTTTTGCGTCAGGTGTGGTGGTACATGCCTGTACTCCCAGCAGCTTGGGAGGTTCTGCAAGACCCTATCCAAGAAAAAAAATAAAAAGGGCTGGAGACATGGCTCAGTGCTAAAAGCACTCCTGGTACAAAAAAGAAAAGAAAGGAAAAAAAAAAAAAGAACATCTTTTTATCTTCCTGAAAAGGAGAAATGTACTTTGCCAATTTATCCATCTAGCATCTTCCCCATGATAAATCATAGTCAATCAACACCTAAATTATTCTCCCTACACAGACTAAAGGAGTCAGCAGAAAAAATAATTTAATTGAGTTTCTGAATTAGCCTCAGTGAGGCTACAGGAAAATTAAGAAACTGAGAGATAAGTCTCATTCACTTTAAATAAGCTTAACCACTGAAAGATGGAAATTTCATGTATTCTGCCATCTATAATGTAACTTCTGCCAAATATTACAATGCTCTTATTAGAGGTTTTTTCATAATCAGCCACTTAGAAGATGACAGAGACAATATAATATTATGATTCAAAACAATTTATTCTATCATAATATTATACTATATTTTTGTATAAAATATTGATGTTCAAAATTCTGTATACCTGGATATTCTCCCTACTCCAAGTATGTGGTGTTTTATTGGCAAGTAATTTCAGATCTTGAATAGCAAGCCTCTTTACTGCTTTCCTGGGATCATTCTTCAAATACTGCAACAGAAGTTGAATCTATAAAGGAAGTAAAGTCACTCCGTGAAAAATATTGTCACTGAAATTATCATTTGGGATGCAGTGCTATTTAGTGAAACTCTTATATTTGAGACAAGACGTCAAATCAGAGCCTTCTCACTTAAACAGCTATGGACCCATATTTGCATATAAAATACTACTATTTAACCTATACAGTTCTAGCATAGGGACAGGGATTTAACACTCAAATCCTTTCTTTCCTGCCAACTTCACATGTTGCCATGTACTCCCTGACACTCCATTTTCCTTGAGGGCACCCAAGAATCAGTATGAATACAGAGGGGAAAAAGAAAATTCTACTGATCCTTATCAGATAAACTGACTTTGTTATCAAAACTTATGGGTTACCTGCTTGTTTTTTAAAATCATGTATTTAACATGCAAGTTCACTAAAGAATAGGCAGTTTAAAGAAAAATTACCTGCTTAGGTGTATCAACCAAAGATGAAGCTGCAAGCAGAGTAAAAGTGTGCAAAGAAACAATCACCATTTTGGTGGAAGGATAGGACGTGACCAGCTGTTGTAAAAGCTGACGAGCACTGGAAGCCAGGATTGCATCATGGTGCATATGCTGTAAGATGGGGATCAACTTCAGTTTCAAGTCTACTGGTGTAGCTAAACCTAGATACAGAAACAAATGCTCAGAGGTTTCTGATCATCATCCTTAATAACAGTTCAGATTTAAAAGGTCTGACTCAATTAGCAAAATGTCCATTTAAAAACAAATAGCATACTAATACATTATTAATGTTTACAAAATTAAAGGTATTTATATTACTACTAATCAATATATTCAATAGTTTTCTCCTAAAGTATTTATCTTAATATTAACTTTCCAGTCACATTATATTATATAGTTAGTAGAAAAAATTTTTCAAAAGGCACAGTTGAAAGCAATCATATTTGCTGCCTCTTTCTTCTCATATTAATATGATTATACACACATATACATACACTCAATGGCTACAATAAGATTATAACAACTTGAATTATTCCGTCAAATTAACAACTTGAATTATTCCGTCAACAACTTAAGCAAGATCAGTATGTAAATTACACTGTATAAAAAAGTTGTGAAGTTCTCTAAACTTTTTCTGTATAGCAGTGTCTTCCTTTACTGCATATACAGCTTCAACTCCACGAGGAATAACCCCAACGCATCTGTTTTTTTGGTACCAAGGATTGAACCCAGAGGCGCTTAACCACTGAGCCACATCCCCAGCCCTTTATTTTATTTAGAGACAGGGTCTCACTGAGTTGGTAGGGACTCACTAAGTTGCTGAGGATGGCTTTGAACTTGTAATCCTCCTGTTTCATCTTCCTGAGCTATTGGGATTACAGGCATGTGCCACGGCACCTGGCTCCCAATGCATTTTTAACTAACACTGGAGCTAAACAAATACACATAAAAGATCTTTCTTTTTATAGCATTGCTTTGTGGCCATGAAGAACAAAAAATTTTTCAAACATAATGTACTACAAACATGCCAAAAGCTAATTTACACTCTGCAGATCAATGGATTTCCCACTGTGAAGTAACTGCTGGTATGAATCCAACACTACATTTCACAAACAGCTTAAAATTAAATATCAGATACTCTAAAACTTCTCTGCCATTTCTTTATCTTGAACCCAAACTTTCTTGCAGCCAAGAAAGGCCACTAAATTGCACAATTCACTAGAATGTCATTTACAAGAATACAAAGAAGGTGGTGCTCTATAAAACTGTGCAATGCTGCAGACCCAGAGCTGCCTTCAACAAATGTTATGTACATAAATGGGATTAACACATCATTTAGCAGGTAAAACTGAAAACTAGGGCTTTGTAGGCTAAGGTAAGGAATTTGGATTTGATTCTAGTTGCCACTCGAAGACACTGGAGGGACATCACCAGAGAGAGCTCCAAACCCCCAAATAACATTGTTCTCCCCCAATTCTGAATGTTTTTCCCCCATTTATCTGCATGCCTCATTCCTTTCCCTCCATGTCTTACTTCATCCATGGCTTCCCCTATCAACATATATAAAATACAAAAGTCCTCCTCCAACCCTGCCATCTACTCTTGGGACTCTCTTTCCTTCTTATCTTATTTTTGCCCATAGCACCTGATATGTCATATATGTATTTCTCTATTGACTCCTCCACCCCTCTAACTAGAATGTAGGTTACATGAGGGCAAGGGCTTTAGTTTATTAATTTCTATACCCAAAGCACCTAGTACAGTTCYGGCATATCAAAGATGCCTAATAAATATTAACTATTATTAATACAAATCCCATTGTCACTTCATATTACTAAATGAAGCATACATACCTTGAATCATTTCACTGATTTTGTTACATATTCCTACAGCAAAATCCCTTTAGAAAGAGAGAACAGCAATAAAATTTTAAATGCAAACAATTAAATTCACTTAAATTTTCTGAAGACTTGACAGAGAACATAATTAGGACAGGAAAACACAATACTCTAAATCATGACTAATACTCCAAGAATCAGATGCTAGGAGGTAGGGTAAGAAATACAATTAAAACAAAATTCTAACCACCAGATAGCTTATGTGAATACTTTTCTTTTTTTTTTTTTTCAAATATTTATTTTTTAGGTGTAGATGGACACAACACAATGCCTTTATTTTTATGTGGTGCTGAGGATTGAACCTGGTTCTGCCATGCTAGGCAGCACTCTACTGCTGAGCCACAATCCCAGCCCATGTGAACAGTTTTCTCATGTAGTATTCAAAAAAGATGCCTGGATTTATAAATTTTCTTGCAATTTATATCACTAAATGACAATATCTAAAACAGTCACTATTACTGAATATGATGTTTGAAGCTATACTTTCAATTAAGAAAAACTTTTAACACACAAGCTCTGATTATATAACCAATCAAATGGATTCCTAACATAAATTTCAGAAAAAGAACCGGTATGAAGTAGAAGAAATGCTGGAAATATGGATAGAATCATATAAAACTACTTAAAGTTTGCCATGTTTTTAACATTAGATATTTGTATTTTCCAAGGTGCTGTTTTTGATTCTACTTTAGTAGAAACATCAACAAATGTTGCAAGATTAATAACATGAATGATTGGCATAAAATACTATTATGGAAAAAAATTATCTAGTATGATTAAATCTGGCTAATTAAGTCATAAGTGATACATAAAACAAAATACTTTCACTCTGGTGTTCAATGGAAATCTAAATATTTCCTGCCATTAAGACATTATCTGTGGGGCTAGGAATATAGCTCAGTAGGTAGAGTGTTTGCCTTGTATGCACAAGGGCCTGGGTTCAATCCCCAGCACCATCATCAAAAAAAAAAAAAATAATAATAATAATAATTATATATATATATATATATAACTTGTTGTTTTCAGTTTCTCTCTCTTACAACTGAATAGCAGAATTTTCCACAGGCTACATGATACAGGATGACATCATCTCTCAATAGCTAATATGTATGCTTTGTATTCTTGTGTCTTCTAGAAATTTCTCCTTTTTTTTCAGAGTGCTAGGGATGCTAAGACCTTGTGCACTCTATCACTGAGCTATAGGTCCCTAGAAATTTCTAAAGTTTTAGAAATATGAGAATAACTCAGTTTGCTCTTACTTATTCTAAGTACTTATCTTAGATTATATCTATTATAATCTTTTTTAAACTTATTATCAAACAATAAATCATTATTTTGAAATCCTGATGTTTTCCTTGTGTTTATGCAGAAACATATCAATATACTCTGTCTTGCTTTGCAGCAAAAATTATATTTTTCTAAAATTCTATCTACAACTACTTTGTTTTAGACTTTAACAATATTTTATCTTAAAATAAAAGAAAGTTTATCTGCAAGTAATTTTTCTTATACTTAAGGGTAATTATTAGTTTGAAAAACAGAGATAAGAATAGCTTTCTCAGCCCATAGCTGTACTATGTGAATTTGGAGATGCCAGAAAAGATGAACCTGACTGTTATCAGAGAGTTCTCTAACTCAGAAGAGAGGAATTTATTTTAAAGAAATAGCAAAACTATAAATAAGGAAGAAACATGGCTTGATTTTGAAGAGACTAAAAACTTAGAATGTAAAAAGGACTAAGTATTTTAACTACAGGCATGTTGTGCTCTTTCAAAGAAATAAACTGCTGTTTATAGCTTTTCAACCTAGAAATAAATGATAACTAAGTTAGGCTAGAGAAAAACACACACTAGGTGAGACTTGTGCAACTGATAATACTGAATGCCTGCTGAAGTCAGTGAAGGAAATCAAGGCACCAACACTTTCCAACAAGAGTAACTTTGTTGGGGCTGGGGATATAGCTCAGTTGGTAGAGTGCTTGTCTTGTATGCACAAGGCCCTGGGTTCAATCCCCAGTACCATCTTAAAAAAAAAAAAAAAAGTAACTTGTTAGAGATTTGGCTGCATATATAAATTAGTAGCTCATCTACAGAATTTTATTTTTGCCTTTCAAGTGGACAAATCATCTGGCTTTGGCCAGATGTTTTATTGTGCTTGTAACTGTATCAGTGCCACCCAATCATAGAGTATCTTCTCTTATGTAAATTCTTGACAAGAAATAATGTTTGTGAAGAAATTTTCATAGTGAGTAATTTTTTTTTTAATCTCATGGTGTATTCTGAAATAACAATATTGACATTTTCACCTATGGTACAAAAACAATGAGGAGTGAAAACTCTCTCAAAGCAGGCCCCAAACTGTATTAACAGTCACTGTATTCTTCACTATTGTATACTCACATAAAAAAAATGAAAAAAATGAAAAAAAAAAGCCATTTGTACTTCATGTTCTTAGTAAAACACTGAAAATTACTAACTTTACTAAATCTCAACCACTGGGTACATGTCTTTTTAACAGTTTTCAGCAAACTGAAAAACACACTTACAGTAAACAGTAATGCACTTCACAGAAAGTGCCAGTATAATTGGGTTATGACATAAACTGGTTGTTTTTTCACGTAATACCATGGTTATTCAGACTTGGCTATTTGACAGACAGATTCTTGAAATATGAATATAGTGAGTTTGTAACCTTGAGGCAAGTAACAAAGTTTTAAAAATTAATTATAATAAGTGTTTTCAAATTTATCCATTAAGATTTTTGATATAAAAACAACTTTTTATGGAGTTATAGAATTCTAGAAAATTTGTTCTAGTCACAGTTTGAAAGCTTAATACTTGTCACAGTGAAAGCCTTTCCTGATGAAACTGGTGCTGATATTAACAAATATGATCCTTTGATATTATTACACAATGGAATAAATCAACATTTGGATATCCATATAAAACACTGAACCAATATTTTCCAAAACACCAACACGTAAGTTTTTCAACTATTCATTTACCTAGATAGCCTTTAAAAATACTCCTCCCTTTTCATACTATGCATCTGTGTCAGACTGGGTTTTCTTTATATACTTGATAATCAAAAAAACATGTTACTACAGATATGGTGAATACAAAAGTTGATGTGAAAATCAAGCCATACATTAAAGAGTTTTGCAACAATGGTAGACAATGCCATTCTTCTCACAAACTGGTTTTTGTTTTGGAAAATAATTTTTCTCACAAAGATATTCTTATGTTGGGACTGGGATTGTGTCTCAGTGGTAGAGCTCTCCTTTAGCACATGTGAGGGCCTGAGTTCAATCTTCAGCACCACATAAAAATAAATAAACAAAATAAAAGTATTGTGTCCAACTACTTCTAAAAAAATATTTAAAAAGATATTCTTATGTTAATAAATTATGGATTTGTTATTTTAAAAAATAAGTACATAGTTTTCAAATTTATCCATTAAAAATCTTGATATATTAAATATAGCTTATAGTCCATATAAACAAAAGTTCTTTGTGGACCTCAGTAAGGCTTTACGAGTATAAAGGGATTCTGATAACAACTAGTTTGAAAACTATTGCTCTAGGGTATCAGTCCCACACTTGCATAAGAAAAAGTAAGATATGAATGTCTTTAAGGGTAGAAGGCAAGTGGTATATATCACATACATATAGACGACTAGTTCCTATTTCTGAGAGCTCCTGCGCTGTTAATCCTTCTGAATTGTTTAGATTTCTGCATAGGTGCCTCCTCTTTCTCACTCAGTTTCAGCTCATGTTACCTCTTTAGAGAGGCTTCCCCTGCTATTCCTAGCTAAAGCTAAATATTTCCTCATTATCTATGTAAAAACTTTTTTAACTTCAAAATTTAAAAATCTGTTATAAGCCTTTAGGGCCAACAAACTGCAAACTAAAAACCTATAGATTTTTTTTTTGATCCAATAATAATTTTTAATTCTTAATAAACAAGATAACTTAAAGATAATGGTATTAAATAAAATAATCTGATATTCCAGTTGCACACTCCCCACTTCATCCCCCCTTTCTCCCTCAAAATCAGACATGACAGCACTGAGCACTTTTCCCTACTAGTAACAACTGGCTAGTGTCTAGGGACAACAGTCCCTTTCATATAGAGCCAATGCTCTTGAGTTCAGCACATTCACCCCTAGAGGACACCTCTCTTACTGACAATGCTCATCTGGCCCCTAAAGGCATTTGGAGCCTGTCAACTCCCGCTCAGTGACCCAAAGATTGGCTCTTTAAAAAATACAAAATTTTAACCTTTTGAATAGGATTAAATTAATTCTCAAGGTTTGATTTAGCCAGTTACCCTAAGAATCCAAAATTGAGAGAAATACTAAGACAGAAATCCATCAATGTTAGTAAAGACATGTCATCTCAAGCCAGTCATGGGGCAAGAGGTAAACGCTGATATCAAAAATATGTATTTCATTAATTTTATACTGATATATTTGGATAAGTCCTTCAGGTTTTCCTACTGGACCAATTTGGTATTTTTAAAATATCTCAAATACAAGCATATAACACTGAAGCATGGTATGTTAAAACACTTCCTATACAAACTGCTAATTTATGTGCTTTCTGGTCATCAATTCCAGAGGTGAAGAATTTTTATTTTTTTCTATGTTAGTCTTAAACACTGCTCAAGAGAAATCAGAAATCCTATAGCTGAAATAAAATTAGCTTTTCATAAAACAAGAGGAAAAACTGAACTACAAATGATTTTCATACATAAAATTTAACCACTGAATTATAAATTCATCCAAAATTAGAAGTTAAATTTAGAAAACTATTTTTGGAAGCACTGGACATATATAATTAACCTAACAGATTATAAAGCACACTTTGATAGAGGTAATCAGATGATAACTATTCACAGCTTAACTCCTATTCAATAAAAAATTTCAGACAGTTCTCTCAATATCGATAACCCAGTAAGAAAAAAAATTTCCTATTTTCAAAAGCATAAATAGGAGGGGCTGGGGCTGTAGCTCAGCAGCAGATCACTTATCTCGAATGTATGAAGTACTGGATTTGATCTTCAGCACAACAGTAAAACAAACAAATAAAATAAAGGCATTCTGTCCATCTACAACTACAAAAAAAATTTTTTAAAGCATAAATAGAAACTATATTCAATTATTTCTCTTCTTATTAATTTTGAGCTGTGAAATTAAAAATCATATGCTTTCTATACTCTTCTCTTCCAATGAATAATCACAGAATTCTTTGAGATTTGATAAAATCAGCTGAAGAGAAAATTATGTATATATAATTAAAACTGGAAGAAAGTTGGTGATTATGGCAAGTTTTATCAAATTTAACAGACTTTATTGAAATTGCTATTTATTATTTGCCTGATTATAAAACTAAAGCTAGTTCATGGCAAGATGTAAAGAAACTTAGAAAATTATGCCATCTTATCACCCAGAGACAACATTTTGATATATATCCTTTGAACCCTTTTTCTATTCCATAAATACAAATATTTATTGTTACAAGTTAACATTAAAACTAGCATTCTTAGCAGCAAATTCTAGTATGCACTACTGACTTCTTAGAATAAATTCTTAGAAGTGGATTTTCTGGGTTAAAGGGATATATATTTTTAAGGTTTTCATACATATTGCCAGAATGGTCTCCAGAAAGCAATGCTAATTTTGATGTGGGCCAAGGGGATATTACTTTTAACAGAGGTAAGCATACAAGTCAGATCATAGTTAACATCTCAGCTAAAAAAACTTCTCTAATATAATATTCTGAAAAGATTAAGTTGGGTTTAATTCAAGTTACTGTCTCTGTCAAACTGTACATGGCTGTATATAAATAGTTTGACAAGGAAACAGAAATAAAACAGCAATTTAGTACCTTGAGTGGGTGTGCAGAAGATTCTTCAGTGGACAAAGCTGCTGCTACCCCATGAAACCTTCCTAAATCACTCTATGCTGATCTTGTTCTCTGGAAACCAGCATCTGAATTAAGCTTTCTATAAGTCTTGTTTCCCCGACATGTTGTAAATCCTCTTGGAAAAAACACCCTGTGATTTACACTTTTTGTAACCCATAATGTTTATATATACAATAACCAGTTATTCCTTCAAAAAAATCTTGGGAAGCCAAATTACTACAATTGCCTGTGCTTACTTTGACTGTGCAGAGAAGTTTGCAGCAGCAAAAACAGCAGCTTCAACTTCCACATTATCATGTGAATCCAAACTCTGGCGAATACTGTGATGAGCATTCTTCCTTTCAGGAATTATTGATGCCAGACTTCCCAACATCCTGCAGTAATAGAGAAACCCAAGAACTGAATAAATTCAAGGTCAGGAAAGGAAGAAGCAAAGCAAGCTAGATTATCAGAACTAAAGTTTGTAGGCCATTCCATTTCAGGTGAATAAAGCTTAACTTCAGGAATCAAGCAATGAGTGGAATTCTAAACACTTTTACATACTTTAATATGCCAGAGCTATCAAAATGGCTTACCTAACACAAAAAGTTTCAAAAAATCATCTTGAAATACAACCAAGGTACCAAATAGGGCCCCAAAAAGAAACTTTTTAAATTACTAAAGCATTAAAATATCAATTTTCCAGGGTTGAATGAAGTACATTTTAGCAAAGCATTAAGAATATAACATTTTTACTATTAAGCAGATTCACAAAGTAAATCAGTAAAACTTCCAAGACTTTTCCCCCTCACATCAATAAATAATGGTATCGTGATTTTCAAATCTGTCTTCAGTATCAAGAGAACAGAGGTAGAGGATGCCCCCTAGAGCTCATACCAGAATCAGCAACAGTGAGGAAGTTAACTTCTAGAAAACACAATTCATTTTATATAATAAATAATTATAATAAAATCATAGATTTGAAAAAGAAAAAATCCATTGTTTGCAATATAAACTACAGAAAATAAAGCCTGAAAAATCCTTTTGGCAGAAAGCTACGGATTTTAGAAAACTGCAAAACAATGAAATAAACAGAACCTACAATGTTCCTATAATAACAACCTTCCTAAAATTAACATCCTAAGTGAATAATAAAGTTAATTTCCAACTTAACATGTCTTCACCTAATGATTTTATGGAGCTATAACTGATTAGAACTAAGTAGTTGAGTTCTTATAAAATAAATACAAATGAACTAAATTTGTAATTTATAATCAACTTCAACAAAAAGTTTTGAAATTGCACATTAAAAAAAAAAAACAGAAAAGGCTACCAATGTAATATATTTTTTTTACCAGAAAAGATCACCATATATTTTATTACATAGTAACAAACTTTTAGCCAGGTTTTATCAATATTAAGATCCATTCTGTACCATATCTTCTTTATACAACATAAACTGTAGTCAAATACACTCACTTACATGCCCAAATCCTTTTCAAAGACCCACCTCAATAGCCAGATTTTTTTTCAATTCTATGGAGATTTCTAAATGTCTTCTGGCATATTTCTTCATTTTATCATACAGGAAATAACTTAAGGTGGATTTTTTTTCATTTTACATCAACAAAAGTAATTTACTTCATATCAGTTCATTGGAGTGTCAATTAGAACTAGAACAAGTCTCTCTAAACAGAATAGCCATACTTCTTTTTAGCTGACTAGTCCACTGTTCCCCATTATCTTTTTTATCCTTTCTTCCTTTTTTTTTTAGGTGGGGGGCGGGCAGGTACTGGGGATTGAACTCAGGGGTACTTGACCATTGAGTCACATCCCCAGCCCTATTTTGTATTTTATTTAGAGACAGGGTCTCACTGAGTTGCTTAGCGCCTCATTTTTGCTGAAGCTGACTTTGAATTTGAGATCCTCCTGCCTTAGCCTCCTGAGCCGCTGGGATTACAGGTGTCCACCACCATGCCTGGCGAAAAACACATTATCTTTTGAAAATTATAAAAGCAACAAATTATGCCCCCTCCTTTTAAAAGAAGAACATTCTGAGAACTGCATTGTATACACTGAATATGTATGGTAGTTAACTGTGGTAAGCACACATATGGCTAAGTTAATTGGTTTATCACTGCCAACATCTGGGGAGGCTTTCACATAGTCACAGTTTGAAATTGTCTGTATACATACATACATGTATGTATGTATGTATGTGTGTATGTATGTATATGTATGGATGTATATATATATGTATGTATATATTCTGAAACATATACTATTTAACTTGTAAACACAAAAACATAAGGGACATGATGCTGATTTACAACTTCTACATTAAAACATAACACTGGAAGTAATTCTGTTCCTGGATTTCAGGTCCTAAAAGAAGTTTTTCTCTGCTTTGTATGTAATGCCTAAAACATATATCTGAAAAATTATTGGTACTAGCATATATAAGAAACTCACATAACTTTATAATAAAAAGATAAATAACATAAAATGGGCAAAAGACACTTTTGATATGAGCTGGGCATGGTGGTGCATGCCTATAATCTCAGCAGCTTGGGAGAATGAGGCAGGAGGATCGTGAGCTCAAAGGTACCTCAGTAACTTAGCAAGTCCCTAAGCAACTCAATGAGACCCTGTCTCTAAATAAATATTATTTTGTGTATTTTGATGTGGCTCAGTGGTTAAGCCTGTCTGGGTTCAATCCCCCACTATCCAAAAAAAAAAAAAAAAAAGATATAAGCAGCCAAAAGGTACATGAAAAAGTACTTAACATCATTACTGCCAAAGTAAAGTCACTATACATCCATTAGAACGACTAAAACTTTTAAAAAGCTAACATCAAAAGTTTTGGCAAGGTGTGAAGCAGGCAGAACTCTCATACATTGTTGGGGGAGATATAAAATGGCAAGAACACTAGAAAATGTCTAGCAATTTCTTATAAAACTAAATATACATTATGAATGATCCAGTGATTTTACTCAGAGGTATAAACCCACCAGAAAATAAAGCATGTTCACAAAAGATCTCATACAAGAAGAATGTTCATAGCAGCTTTATTTTTAATAGCAACAAACTGAAAATAAATGTTTGTTGTTAAGAAAATAGATAAATAAATTGTTATAGTGATACAATAGAAAACTACTCACCATTAAAAAATGGTTATTGATATACATGGGTTAATCTCAAAAACACTATGTTGCCTCAAAGAAGTCTCACACAAAAGGATTCCTATTGCCTGAGTCCATCCACATAAAGTTTGAAAACACAAAAACTACTAGTCTATGATAGCAAAAAGTCAAATGAGTAGTTACTTCTGGGAGGTGATTGTGGGTCCAGCTCAGAAGGGGTACACAGAGATTTCTAGAGTGATGGTAAATTCAGTATTTTCAAAAGGGTTAGGGATACATGAGGCAATTGTCATAATCAGTAAATATACATGTAAAATTTGTGCTTTGCACTGGAGGCAAATTTTCATTAAAAAAAAAAACAGATAATTTTTTTTTACCAGAAAAGATCACCATATATTTTATTACTATGTAATAAAATTGATATGACTTTTCTCCTTGAAACTGAACTTTCTTTTTGAGAACTTTCTAGAAATTACTGGTTTTATCAATTAGAACAGTCCTTACAGAAGAAATGAGGCAAGGCTCAACTGCTATCTACGAGAAGGGCAAGAACGCAAAATGAATGGCATATTCAAACATTAAGCTACTTCTTTTCAAAATATTCATACTAGCTCTAATTATTTGTAAAATTTATCTATTCCTTAAATTCTATTCTTCTTCTTTATTATCCTCTGATTAAAAAAAAAACATACTTGTAAAAAAAAAATTCAAACCTTATAAAATCATACAAAGTCTCTTATAATCCACAACCCAATGATCCTGCCCAAAATCATCACTTTTAACAGGATATGTTCCTCCATATTTTCACTGAGTCAAATAAATACACACATTAGTATTAACTGACTAAAATTAGTAAAAATGTAAATTACCTGATCATTTTTTAAACTTAGTCTCTGTATATTAGTACATATAGACATATCATTCTTTGAAACTGATGTAAATTAACTGTTCTCATATTGTTAGAATAATTCCCCCCAATTTATCATTGTAAAATAACACTATGATCATCCATATACATCTTCACCAACTTATTAACTGACTTTAAAACCATATATTGTTCAATTTAATCTCTCAAAAGAAAAGGAATAAAAAAAGCACTTAATTATGAACAAAAAGAATTGATGCTTGAAGTGGAAAAAAGTAAACTCAGGCAGAAGTGACATCTTGGACCTCCTGATCAAAAAGAGGATTGTCTGGGCAGGGAGAGTCAGAAATAAAAATTATAATTTAGGAAAATAAATTTCAAAAAATCCCCTAAAATTATACATATAAAAATTTATGGTTCACACAGGATATGAAGCTTACAAAAGGAAATTTGAACAAAATAAAAATTTAAAATAAAAGTGCCAAGAAAGAAAAGGAAAGACTAAAGAAACTACAGTGGTTTATCCAGTGTTCTCCAAGAAATTCTAACATAAACTATCACATGCAAAAATGAGCACATAACCAGGATGAATGTAGAAAACGGACAGAAAACAAGGTCAAGAAGGCAAAAGTTCAAAACGAACTGAGGCTAAGCTATACTGAAATTCACCAAGTTATTTGATCAGAACTCCCACCTACATAGAGGAATGTTTCAAATACAAGTTAGGCAACAATTTACCACCAAAACAGTAATACAGATGTTAATTGAAAAGAATTTCAGATTAGGATATTACCACATTTTTGCACTGAGTCTTAGTCAAAACCCAAAATAAATCTCTAATATTTAAAATCAAACAAGTACATTGCCTTTAGTTACAGCTTAGTCTTAGGATGAATGATTATTGAACAGCATACCGGAGTGTGATGGCTCTTGCTACAGGATCATTACTATGAATCACAGAGAAAATTCTCTTCACAAATTCATCCACATTTAGGATCTTCTCCAAATGCTTCTCACTTTGTTGGGTAACTTTAAGAACACATAGCCTCAGAAAATTGTTTCTAGGAAAACCAGAGATAATATAATTGAATCACTTTAGGAAAGTAATATCTGGGATTAAAGCAACATTAAAGATATTAAATTTTAGCAACAAGCAAATGTTTTTCCAGCTTATCATTATCTGTTTCACCACTGAAAGGGTTACCTGAAGTCTGTACTTCAAGAGGATACCAAGCATAAACACAGCTATGCCCTAAAGAAGTAAATACTCTCTGAATCATATTCTTCATTTTTGTTAAGTGTCATTAAATCTCATACCAAGGTGTAGTGCACACTGCAATATGCTCCACTAAAATGGTAAGTAACCATGTAGAAGTCCCAAAGGGAAAAAAGAAAACCATAACACAAAACAAAGAAATATGAACAATACATGCTTTAGAATAGTGAGGCTTTTGAAAGACTTACCCAACTCTGAAAACATCAGCTAACTTTAGGAATGCAGAATTGATGAGAATAGGAAATGGATACTTCTGAAAAAGCCTGGGAAAGCGGACAACTGCTTCACACTGTTCACCAAGTTTGCCAGATCTTAGACCTATCAAAAACATGAAAGGAGAACACAACTTAAAAATTTGTGTCTGCAAGTCAAAAAAAGCAGACACCAACTTATTACACAGTAAGGTAACAATCATTCTTAATAATTACATAAAGTACAACCACAATTCATTTCTCACTTAAAAATAGTACATAAATTAGTAATTTGATAAATTGATACTTTTAGATACATAATAATGAAAAAGAAAAATAATTTTAAAGGTCAGTAGTAACTTAAGGCTATTCAGCGACATAAAATAAATGCCAAAAAATTTCTAAATCACAGAATTTATGTTCTCTGACCACAATGGAACTAAATTAAAAAGAGTAAAATATTGGGGTTGGGACTTTGAAAGCGAGAAGATCCTGGAACAATGTATTTCAAACGCTGAAAAATAATGGATTCCAACCAAGAATACTGTATCCAGCAAAATTAAGCTTCAGATTTGACAATGAAATTAAAATCTTTCACGATAAACAAAAGCTAAAAGAATTTGAAGCCAGAAAACCAGCACTGCAAAGCATTTTGAACAGAATACTACAAGAAGAGGAATTGAAAAATAGTGCCCAAAACTAACAGCAGGAGGTATCTCAGTAAAGGGGGAGGAAAATAACCAAAAAGTAAAAACTAGCCAAACTAAAATAAATAAATAAATAAACATGACTGAAAGTACAAA